CCCAAATTTGGGGCGTCACCACGCCATGATATGTCAGGCTAGGTGTCCTCATGTCCGCGCTTCCGCGCTTGGTTTCTTTTTCAAAATGCTGCTCCCTCTGAAGCGCTGGCCTCATTTTCGGTCTACCGCTCGTTCCGAATCGCGCTCCCGCTGCAACGCTGGCCTCATTTCCGCGCTTCCGCTCGTTCCGAATCGTGCTCCCGCTACAGCGTTGGCGTCAGCGTTTCCAGCCCCATGCCACGGCATGGTTTTCGGTCCTTTCGAATAGGTCCCAGCCCCATGCTACAGCGTTGGCGTTATTATTTCCAATGCCATGCCACGGCCTGGTTTTCGGTCCTTCCGAATATAGGCCCCAAAATCGAAAAACATGCATGCCGAAGAAACCATCGGACATGATTACACATTTGGTATCGGTTCGTTGTTTTTTGGGGCCGCGAAGCCCCTCTCCCCGCTTTGGGGCGTCGCCACGCCATGCTACGTCATGCTACGCGTTAATCTTCAACACTATGCTATGACATTTAATCCTATGTCATGCTACGACATCCGATTATGCGAATCGAGAGGAGATCTACACCGTGGTAAGGGATGGGAGGGAGGGATACGACGGCAGATATGACGCGAGCGCACCTAGCTTGCCCTCTCCTCCCTTCGCCCGTCCCTCCCTCCCCCTCTGTCCCCCCTCACCCTCTGCCCCTTCTACCCTCCTCCCTCTCTTCCTCTCCCCCTCTAACCCCTCCCCCATCCCTACCCTCCCCTCCCCCCACTGCCCCTCGTTCCCATCCCCCTCGTGCCTCCGTCCCCTCCCTCCTCCCCTCCCTCCTCCTACTCCTCTCCTCCTCCTCTCCTCCTCCTCCTCATCCTCTCCTCTCCTCCTCCTCCTCCTCCTCCTCCTCCTCCTCCTCCTCCTCCCCTCCTCCTCCTCCTCCTCCTCCTCCTCCTCCTCCGCCTCCTCCTCCTCCTCCTCCGCCTCCTCGTCCGCCTCCTCGACACAGCCTTCGCGCAACACAGGTCTGTCACGCCGCACGCGGAGGGGGCCAAACGCCCACCCCCCACGACTCCCTAGAGCATGGCAGCCGCAACGCCGCCGACCGGGCCCGAGAGAGAACGAAGAGAGAAGGAGAGAGAACAAGGACAAGGAACGAGGCGCCGGCCTCACATGTGCTGTACGACGTGCAGCACCGACTCACCGAAGGTGAGCGGCCCCCATGCCTACCTGGCTTTTCCAGCACCAGGTGACACTGGACACCCCCAACGGGCCACCGCGCGGGGCACGCGGTGCGGGAAGGTCATGGGTGTCCAGGCCCACCCCCGCAGACCCCCTTGCCCAGGGGGGTCAGGTGGGACCACGTCTTGAGCCGTGCCCGTGACCGACCCTCCCGGCCACACCCTTGCCCGCGTGACGGGAGGGCCAATACAGTTGTTGGAGCTTGCCCCCGCAGGAGCAGGTACCCGCGGGACGACGCGGACCGAGATCCACGCCGTCCCAGGGGGGGGTACCCTCGCGGCCCCAGAACGCCAGGTCCCCGAGGGACCTGAGACGGCAGACCCGATCCACATGGGGACCCCCGCTAGAGTTCGGGGGGGCCGTCCCAGGCCCGTCAGGGCATCGACGCTCCTGGCCCGCCGCGCCGCCCCTGCGCAGGCGACGTCTTGGCGGATTTCAGTTCACCCCAGGAGCCTCAACGTGCCGCCCACACGCCGAAGTGCCCTCCTGGGGGGCGCCTCTTCCTCCTGCTCCTCCTCCTCCTCCTCCTCCTCCTCCTCCTCCTCCTCCTCCTCCTCCTCCTCCCTCCCCCCCTCTCCCTCCTCCCCCCCCTCCCCCCTCACCTCCATCCTCCTCCCTCTTCTTCTCCCCTCCCCTGCTGCGTCCCCCCCCCCCCCTTTGCAGTTTTTTTACCCTTCTGTGAGCCGCGGGGGCGCCCGCGGCCAGCGCGCGCGCCGCCGATGCTCGCGGCCGCGCCGCCGCGGTGGCGGGCGGCGCACGAGCGCGCTGGTGGGGACGCGCGTCCGCGGTGGCGGGCGGGCTTGGCGCCATCGCGGGCTGCGGCCTGCGGGAGGCGCGCACGCGGCGGGCGGGGAGGCTCAGAGGACTCAGAGGTCCGACGCCTCCTCCTCCTCCTCCTCCTCCTTCACCGTCTGCTCCCTCCCTCTCCCCTTCCTCCTCTTCCTCCTCATTCTTTTCTCCTTCTCCTGCTGCTGCTGCTGCTGCTCCTCCTCCTCCTCCTCACCGGCGATCCGACGCTCTTACAAAAATCGAAGCGGCGGGATTTTTGCAGTTTTGGGCCTCCTGCAGGAGCCCTCGCCGGGCCTCGGGAGCGTCCAGAAAAATACTCCGGACGAATAACTGGCCCCTGGGAAGCACACACATCGAAAACATTGGAGCAGCCAGATGCTTACGGAGGGAGGGAGAGCAGAGTCTCTTTCGTCGGCGGCGGGCCGGGGGGGAAGTGAGAGGGAGAAGGCCTTCGCAGATGGCTGGGAAGTGCCCCAGCCTCGTGAGGAGGTTCCTGAGCTTCCCCAGAGTGTGTATACCACTTCTCGGGAGGCGCGAGGGATTCTGAAGAGTGCTGCCGCCTTCTGAGAAGGCCTTCTCCTTCTCATTCCCCCCCTCCTCCTCCTCCTCCTCCTCCTTCTCCTCCTCCTCCTCCTCCTCCTCCTCCTCCTCCTTCTCCTCCCCCCGATCAGAGGAGGAAGAGGCTGAGTTCCTTGTCGGTCTCGGAAGACAGACGCCGGCGCGCGTGGGCATGCGGCGCTTGCTCGGGGCGCCCGCCTGCGCCTGGGGAGTTCGGCCTCGTCGGCACCCCGCGGGGATGCAGCGCGAGGGTGGCATATCTGATGGCGCAGAGGAGGACGGGGTATACGCTGGTCGTTGAGAGTAGGTAATGTTCGGGGGTGGACAGAACCCCCAACAGTGACACGTCGATCAGTGGATTGTCCGTTTTCGGTTCTCGAGAGGGCGCCGCGGCCGTCAGCTTGCCAGGCATGCGCCCGCCAGGTTTTGGGCCTCAGGTCGTTTTCACTAAACCACGTTTTACTAAAGGGACGTCTGTCCATCCCCGAATTTGATGGTGCAGAGGAGGACGGGGTATACGCTGGTCGTTGGGAGTAGGTAATGTACTTCAAGCGCCTTCCTACTTCGAGAATCGATGTGCTTTTGCTGCGTCTGTTACTCTCAATGCGGGCCCGAACCCAATCTGCTTTGTCCGCCTTCCTGCGTCATGTTTCTACCTACTTCTTCCGACTGATGGGTGCAGTCCGCGCGCATTGGCAGGTCGACCCTGCAAAAGCAAGGGTATTCTTGTGTCCTGTCCATCCCTTCTCATGTCCTCTGCGTGTTCGGACTGCGGGTCGGCCGCGGGTGACCGCTGTCGCGGCCTCAGCAGGGTTTCTTTGTGTCTGGTGCATGTTGGATGCCATGTTGCCGTCGGAAGAGTCTCGTGTCCTGTCGCGGATCCTCTCGTATGCGTTCCGACTGTACCTTTAAGTCGGGCCTATCCCTCTACAGGGAGAATTTTCAAAAATAGTCAAAACAACTAGTCTGGGGACTATTTTTGTGAATCTTCTTTGGGCCATTTGGGGATCATTTGAGGGCATAGTCTTTGACTGTTTTGAATTTCTCGTCGTAAATCACCCTGTAGGGAGACACGCCCGATTTAACTGTACTGGCACAGCTGCCCATGCATCGGTTTCCCCTTTTTTGGGGGGCCTCCCGGGAGGCCCTCGTCGCCGCCGCTGGATATTCGCCTCGAAGGCCCGCCCGGTCCGAAGGCTCCCCGGGAGAGGCCCGGGGAGCAGCGGCAGGGGCACCTGTCGGTCTCCCCGTACTTGGTGGCATCGCTCGGATTTGTCCATTTTTTAAAATGAAAAAGATCTCAAACACATATATATATATATGTATACACACATATCTACATGTATATAGTATGTTTATGTATGTATAGACATCGGCGGGGACCATTTGAGGAGCATCGCGGGTCGCATTCGCAGAAGAATCAGCGCGCGAGAATCGACGCCTGCGCGAGACACATGGACGTCCGAGCGGCGGCAAAAGCATGCTGGGGTTAAGGCGGGCCTGTCCCTCCACAGGAGGAATGTTCAGAAAGATGGTAAAACATAGTCTGGGGACGCTTTGTTGACTATGTTAGGGTATTCTTAAATATTTCCGCCCCCGTCCGCCTGTAGGATTAAGTCGGGCCCGTCCCTCTACAGGGGGGATATTCAAAGATCTGAAAAAATAGTCCCGGGGACTATTTTTGACTATCTTTGAGCATTTGGGGGCATTTTCGGAGTGTTTTCAAATTTTCGCCCAAAATCCCTCTGTAGGTGGACCCGCCCTTTGTGGGCCCCGGAAACGGCAGGGCCGTTTTTTCACCGTTTCCCCAAAAAATGTCCCTTGAAACTGGAAACGGTAAAAAAGCGGCGAGCGGAAACGGCGAAAAAACGGCTCCAGGATTGGAACCGGAGCCGGAACCGGTCAAAAAACGGCGACGGAACCGGCAAAAAAACGGCAGAACGGAACCGGTAAAAAAAAGGCCCCGTCGTTTCCAGGGCCCACGAAGGACCCGCCCGACTTATTTGTAGGAGGATATGCCCGGCCTAATGCTGGGGGGGAGGAGGGGCAGGGCGGCAGGGCAGGGCCAGAGGCGCCCACACGGGGGGTCTTCGCGGTGCGGCCGCGCCGGGGCTGCGCCGCCGTCGGCGGCGCTCGGTCGGTTCGGTGCGGTCCGTGGCGGTGTCTCGGCCACGCGCGGAGGGGGGCAGAGGGAGGGGGGAAAGAGGGGAACGAAGAATGACTGCGGGACGGGAAAATGACCACAGCCACTGCTTCTTGTTTGCGCCGCCTTCCAGCCGGCCTCCAGGGGCGGGAGCCCCGTGGGCCGCCCCTCTGCCCGCAAGTCGCTCCGGCTCGAGCCGCGGCCCCCCCGGGAGCCCCGAGCGCTCCCAGGAGCCCGCGCGCGCCCCCCTCCGCGGGCCCCCGGGCTTCCCGACCGCGCCCACGAATGGTCGCCGCGGGAGGCGGCTATACGGCGCTGCTCAGGAGCGACGGCACGGCCGTGGCCTTCGGCGCGAATCACGGCGGCCAGTGCAACGCGCCGGCGTTGGACGGTGGTCTGAATTATATGCAGGTCGTCGCGGGAAGTGCCTACACGGCGCTGCTTAGGAGTGACGGTACGGCCGTGGCCTTCGGCCGGAATGGCTTGGGCCAGTGCAACGTGCCGGCGCTGGACGGTGGCCTGAGCTACACGCAGGTCGCCGCGGGAAACTATCACACGGCGCTGCTCAGGAGCGACGGCACGGCCGTGGCCTTCGGCAGGAATGACCTCGGCCAGTGCATTGTGCCGGCGCTGGACGGTGGCCTGAGCTACACGCAGGTCGCTGCGGGAGGCGAACACACGGCGCTGCTCAGGAGCGACGGCACGGCCGTGGCTTTCGGCTTGAATCGCTCCGGCCAGTGCAACGCGCCGGCGCTGGACGGTGGCCTGAGCTACACGCAGGTCGCCGCGGGAAGTGCCCACACGGCGCTGCTCAGGAGCGACGGCACGGCCGTGGCCTTCGGCGCGAATGACTTCTGCCAGTGCAGCGTGCCGGCGCTGGACGGTGGCCTGAGCTACACGCAGGTCGCTGCGGGAGGCGATCACACGGCGCTGCTCAAGAGCGACGGCACGGCCGTGGCCTTCGGCGGGAATCGCTCCGGCCAGTGCAACGTGCCGGCGCTGGACGGTGGCCTGAGCTACACGCAGGTCGCCGCGGGAGGCGTTCACACGGCGCTGCTCAGGAGCGACGGCACGGCCGTGGCTTTAGGCTTGAATCTCGCCGGCCAGTGCAACGTGCCGCCGTTGGACAGTGGCCTGACGTACACCGCGCGCCTGCTCGTCGGCGCGACGCTGCTCCTGCAGGCGTCGCTCGACGGTGGCGCGGTGCTTGGCATGAAGGGAACGGGTCTCGAGGGGAACTGGTCCTGGACCCCGGGGCCCAGGCCGTCCCCCGTTGGAGCAGACTTTCATCCTGAGCCGTTTTCTGACAGCCCTGGGGCGCGCGGGGGGCCTGGGGAGGCGAAAGTCAAAGCGGAAAGCTGGAGGATCCGTTCCTTGCTGGCGAGGTGCGCTTCCTGACCCTGGGCGGGGTGGAGCGCTGCCGGGTGCGGGCGGCGCCCGGCGCGCCTCTCGCCGGCGTGCGCGATTGGCTGGCGGGCGAGCTGGGCGCGGGCAGGCTGGGCCCTGGGCTCGGCCGCGCCGACGCGGCCCTGCCAGGCGGACGGCTCCTGAGCGGGGCCTCGGCGGGCGAGACCGTCGCGGACGCCTTCGCGTTGTAGACATCGGGTCGCCGCCGTGCTTCGTCTTGGGCCCCAGGGCGTCATCCAGGGGTAACATCAGGTGGGGGTATAAGTAGGCTCGAGGGGGGGATGCTATTGTTTGTCCTCGGCACTTTCCTGCCTCGGGATGCGTACCAGCAGCTGCGCCTAGCCGAGAGGCGTCCGACGGTGCCCGGATGGTACCCGACGGCCGCTGGAGACCCGCGAGCCAGGCGACGAAGACACGCTTGGGGGGATAGGCTCAGGGGGGGGGATGCATCGACCTTCAGTCGCCCATTCCACGCCGACGGGATCCTGGGGTTTCGCTATCGGGGCCTAGGGCGGATCTCTCCGCGATGTGTCGCCGAGTCCAGGTCGATGTTATCCCCCTAACTAAGGTGAACCAGGCCCCCACCCTCGTTACCCCTCAGCCCAGGAACGCGGAGCTTCGCTGTCGGGGCCTACAGTGCGGATCTCTCCACGATGCGTCGCCGAGTCCAGGTCGATGTC